CTGTGGCCTAACCAAAGTCCTGTGCAGCTCCAACATGACCTCCCTGCCCTGATCATTTATGCCACAGTTGATTAAAGTAAGCATCCCGATGCCTTCTTAACCACCCCATTAACCTGTCATTTTACTTTCAGGGATCTGTGGACAACATCCCACTGTTCCTCTGAGCATCCTAGTGTCTTGGCAGATTTATCAGAATGTGCATTGAAAGGTTCCTCACTCTGTTTGATACCAATCTCCATCTCAGTTCCTGATCCTCTCTTCCTTCTGAATTTGTCAGCAGCCCACACCGCAACCCCCCCCACCGCCCTCCACCCACAGGCATCTCAATATAAAATCTCCTCCACTAGATAGACTCAAAATAATAATTTTGAGCCTGTTACTCAATCATTCTCTATAAAAAAAATACTTGCCTCCTACATTTTTAATTTACCCTCGTGTGTTTCCTATTTCACCTAAAGTGAGAAAGCCTTCATTAGTACTCTTTCTGCTTATCCTCATTTTCACTCATACTTTTTTCTAACCTTAATAAGCTCCTTTTTATTAAAAACAGACTTCTTATATTTAATGTTCCTGTTTTAATTATCTCCCTTGCTAACATTGAATATGTTGTTCTAATTAATTCACAGAGATATAACTATACTCTTTCTTCTTACCGGAGCTGTTTCTCCTTACTGAGTACATTTGATTTACGTTCCTACTATCTCTGATTTATACCCTTTACTGGTCTCACATTATTATTATTGACTTAATTAGTTCACAAGTAACTTCAGCTTTGGCTGAATAGATAGTCCACAAAGCCAGTTGAAGAAAAAGGTGAACACATTCAATAATAACAATGACTTGTATGAACTTAGCACCTTTAATACATAAGCCATTGCAAGGTGCTTCTCAGGAGCATTATCTAAGAAAATTTCATACCAAGCTACACTAAAACAAATTTGGGAGTGGGCACAAATAACTTGATCAAACAGGCAGACTTTAAAGAGTATCTTTAAAATAACATCCATAGACACGCCAGAAAAGCAACCCAGAAAATGTTGCTTCATTCAAAAATATAGGATTGTTAAAGGAAAGTTATCACAAATGAATATGGGATTTCTGAGTAAGCTGAGGTTTTGGAGACCAATGGTGAATCATTCATTCCAAGCAAATGACTTAATAAGTCCACAACCTTTGGTGTCAGAACAAATCACATCAATTAATATATAATGAGTTAAAGTTAATTCAATAACGTCATAAACTTTGCAGATGGTTCTGAGAAAGAAAATCACATTTTTCATTAAAGGCAATCAAGACTGTGCTGTTAACCAACAAGCAGACAATTAACAGGAGCTAATGAAATGATGCACATAACTGGACTGATGACTCAACCTACCTTTCATATACTGCAGTATCCTCTGTTAAAGTGTGGTTTGATGTCAGAAACAGAAGAACAGGAGAGTAGACCCAAGTAATCTTTCAATCAGACACAGAGACTATGAGCTAATTGGCTTCGCTCTTTGCTCTAAGATTCTGTGGCAAGTCTGCGAAGCTATAACTGTGAAATTGTAATCTGAAATGCTGGAAACACACAGATCAGTAACAATCAATATAGTGTGGAGGTGGAGGAACACAGCAGGTCAGGCAGCATCAGAGGAGTCGGAGAGTCAACGTTTTGGGCCTAAAGCCTTCATCAGTACTCTGGTGCTGCCTGACCTGCTGTGTTCCTCCAGCTCCACACTGTATCAACTCTGACTCCAGCATCTGCAGTTCTTGCTATCTCCAGATCAGTAATAAACTTGGACAAGAATGTATAGACTGAATGCATAATTTGCATCCATCTTTACATAAGGAATAGGAGCAGGAGAAGCAAGAGGAGGCCAGTCAGTCCCTTGAATCCAGTCCTTGAGATCATGGCAGGTCTTTACTTCACCTTCAATTTCCTGCCCTATCCTTGTACCGCTTGATGTTTTTAACATGTAGAGAATAACTGAATGTACTTAACCATTGGCTTCCACTGCTCTAGGTCACTCTTGGACACCATGGGATAATTTAGCATGGTCAATCTAAATTTCATGTTGATCTCGCTCTCTGTGCACCTTCTCTGCCGCTGTAATATTGCAATCTTTCTCTCTGTTCTATTACCCTAATGCATTTTGAATAATATGATCTGCCTGTACTGTAAGCAAAAGAAACCTTTTGACTGTACAATGCATCAAATAGTAAATCAAAACAAATAAATCTCTGTGGTGGAGAATTACAAAGATTCACTATCATTTATGTGAAGAAATTCCTTCTCACCACAGTCCTAAGTGGCTTGCTCCTTACTGTTTCCCTAGATTCTAGACACATGCCCAAACAGGGGAAATATTCTCCCTGCATCAACATTAGGAATATTGTATGTTTGAATGACAACATCGAGATCATCTCCCTCTCTGACAATTCTAACTTGCTCCAAGTAAGGAGACCAAAACTACATGCAATAATCCAGGTGCAGTCTCACCAAGGCTGTACAAAATTACAGTAATATCTTTATGTCTATACTCAAATTTTCATGTTATATTGGCCAGTATACTAGTTTTCTTTTTAATTACTTGCCCTACCTGCATGTGAACTTTCAGTGATTCATTAGCAACATCACTCAAGTCCCTTTGAAGTTCAATACTTCACAACCTTCCACAATTGAACAAATACTCTGTATAGGATGTTTCCTCATGTGGGAAAATTTAGAATGAAACATCATAGTTTTAGCATCAGGGGTAGCAGAAATGAGAAGAAATTATTTCTCTCAAAGGATCATGAATCTATAGACTTCATTACCGCAGAGGGTGATGGATACTGGAACTTTGAGTAAATTTAAGAAGGAGCTAGACAGATTTTTAATTAGTAAAGGGGATAATGGGTGATGGAGAGTGGAGTTGATGCCGAGTTGAAATCAGCCATGATCATATTGAATAGCGGAGCAGACTCAAGGGGCTGAATTGCCTGTTGCACGGTGGCTCAGTGGTTAGCACTGCTGCCTCACAGCGCCAAGAATCCGGGTTTGATTCCACCCTCGGGCGGCTGTCTGTGTGGAGTTTGCACATTTTCCCCATGTCTGTGTGAGTTTCCTCCAGGTGCTCCGGTTTCCTGCCACAGTCCAAAGATGTGCAGGCTGGGTGGATTGGCCATGTTAAATTGCCCATAGTGTTCAGGGATGTGTAGATTAGGTGGGTTATAGGGGATGGGTCCGGGTGGGATGCTCTGAGGGTCGGTGTGGACTTGTTGGGCCGAAGGACCTGTTTCCACACTGTAGGGATTCTATGATCTGATCTAATTCCTGCTCCCGGTTAATATGTTCTTCTGTACGTCTGTTCATGCTAATGTAGTAGATATCTGCTTATTGCTCCCCATGGTATCCACCTGCCACATTTTTTCCTGTTTTCTTGGCTAGTTGACATACCCTTGAAGCATCTTTGCATTCTCTTCACAACTACAGCTCCCACCTGGTTTTGTGCAAGCTGCACACTTGGAAATATTGCACCTAATCCCCAACCCCACCCTTGATAAACACTGTGAACAGCTCTGGTCCAAGTACTGATCCTTACACTAACCTCACATCCTGTCAACCTGATAAGGAAGAAGATGCTGCCAATATCATCACCTAAACATGAAGCTCTCAGCTAGATGGGCTACAAAGTGCTGCCAGACAGCTTCATTGGTCCAGAGTTTCTAGCCTACTGATCGTCCAAGGTTGCACATACAACCCAAGGTGTGTGTCATGGCCCCTTAGATGTCCCAATATACTGACCTCCACAGGAGTTAACAGGAAGTATGAACTTCAAATGAGCAATTGCCCTGCTGCCCTCAGCTAAAGTCTCCAACTCTGAGCTCGAGTTGGAAACTGTGGACAGTTCACTGAATATTTACAAAGGAAATAATTAGATAGATAACTGTAAGTCCAATATGCCATTCACTCACACTGACACACCGAGATTCTGCACCCCACAAACCCCATCCAATCTCTTGATTCCCAACTACTCCCACTGAGGTTCTGTGACTGACCTTCATGGTTGGACACAGCCATTCAGCTAAGCTCCTGACAATTCCAGAGATTCACACCTCTCTGAGTGACAGAACTTCTCTTTTCTTCAGTTGTAAACGGTTAACACCTTCCCCTGAGAATTTCCTCCCCTGATCTAGATTTCTCCACCAGGGGAAACCACCTTTCACTATCCGCGCTGTCGAACCTCTTCAGAATCTTGAATGCTTCAGCAAAATCATCTCATTCTTCTGGACACCAGACAACCTACATCCAATTTAATAAACTTCTCATCACAGGGCAACTCTGTCATCTCAGGGACCAATCTGGGATGGTCTTTGAACTATATCAGTTCCATATTGACCTGTCATGTTTTTGGAAAGGAATATGGTGATACGGTGAGGGAATGCAATTCAAATCCCAGATAAGCCATGATCAGTTTGAATGGCAGAGCAGTACAATGGGTCCTATGGTCTGTTCCTAATCTAATTTCTTATGTCCTTGTGCAATGAAGCCCTGAAGTTTCATTTCTCCTCCATTATGCCATTTAGGCCACTTTTCTGCAGAATCATCCTCAGGACTCATTCAGTCCCTGCATTAAAACTTTGTTTCCTGAATTCTGAAACTTTTCTACTGTTAATTTTAATCTTAGGCTTCAGTACGATGATCTCTTTGCATTAAATCTAAAAAGGAACATTTAATTGAAAAATGATATTCAGATTGCAATGGCCTGCACTCATGTTGTTGAATAAATTAAGCTCAATTATAAAGATAAAGCATTGGTTCAGGCTATAACTGACCTCAGGTGAATCGTGTGTGGCACTATACATCTGTTCATTAAAATAGTTTAGAAAATATATTCAGCCTGTGCTAAATTAGCAAAATGATAGCACCTCCGTACGCAGAATGATTGCTGGAGAGTATAAATAAGGTGAGGATTCAAAGATGCTCAGTGCAGTTTGGAAGGTTTTCTGGGTCCAGTTCCAAAAGGTGGGACATCATGCAGTCTGCCTATCTCACAGTTTGCCTCCTGTGCCTCATCAGCTTCACCTCAGCTTGTTACATCAACAACTGTCCTGTAGGAGGCAAGCGATCCATCATGGACATGGAGGTCAGACAGGTAAGGAGCAACTTTCTTTGTTACACTGTTTACAGTAAATAACTCATCCAAAATGATTATTAAACACTGGCTGTTCCATCAATGCTGCGCTCTAATTGCAAATGAAGAAAGGTGGTGCAACAGATTAATCTGCACCATTCCCCAGATACTGTTTTTACCACATGCAATATTGAGAAGATCCACAGTGATAGCTTTCACAATGGCTCATGTATGGATGTTACATCAGCTGGTTAGGTAGATCCTGGGGTAGTAGATCATCATAGACTTACACGACCATACGGCTGCTCTCTCATTGGAGAGAAATGAGTGGGGGTTATTTAACCTGAGGCCACCACACCTCAGGCAAGGGGTGTGGGGTGGGGGGTGGGTGTGGGGAGGTGGAGATTGAGAAGGAGAGTCCATCATGGTAACCTCAGCCAGTGTGGGGATTGTACTCATGTTGGTGACATCACACTGATTTGCAGAACAACTGAACTAAACCGAACCCGCCCCCACCAGAGTAGGAATCAGTGAGTAGATCCCTTTGCTGAACAAATATATCATCAACAATATCTTATTTCCATCCTGCGGTTCCTGTGATGCTACTGCCATGTGAGTGATGTGGTACCCTCAGTGAGGAGAGCTTAAGGTACAGGCAGAGTGTCCTGAGTGTCTGAGACTAACACCAGGAATTGTTGGCCATGGAAGGTATTTCTGTAACATGGTCAAGGAGTTTGATTTTCAGTCTGTAAATCCTTTCACTGGGCCTGATGGCAGGCAGTAAGACTGGGGGATTAAGAGTCGACATGCAGAAGGCAATGACAAACCACTGCAATACTTTATCCATAAACATTGACCACTCTGAGAGAAGTCCATGGGCCACCTCTCAAAAACAAGAATGGGATAAAAGACAGAATAACTCTCAGTGAAGCTCATTAAAAGTTAATAGAGTTTGCTCATTAAATGTTTTAATCAATCTGTTGGATTTTTTAAAAGTATAAAGAGTAAAATGAATGTCAGGACAGAAGATCAGGCTTATTTTTTAAATAGACATTTATGGAAGATTTTCTGATAAGTTTCTGTCCAATGCAGATACAAATCAACTTGAAGTCAAATCTGAAAATGTTTTGTAAAAATGTTGCATGCACCTGACAAAATAGCAAGGCAGTGGTACTGACAATCTTCCAGGGTAACAAAGGTTATTGAAATAATTTATTGACATAAGGAAAAATTAAGGATGATGACCTGTATTCGGGTTAAATGGCAGAATGTGAGGTCATTGAATTAAAAGTTCCACATTTTCAAAGATAATTCTCAGAAATTATTCATAATATTTCAAGACTCAGGGTCAACAATTTCGATTCAGGAAGTTAAAAGCATTGTGTAACAGCTTATGATGGAAGGCAAAATATTGATGGATTGAATGAGCTTGCAGTTCTATGTTTTGCAGAAGACTGGCAATGTTAAGGTGATAATTGGGCCTGATATTGAAAAGGATCAGACTTCATGGGGTTAATGAATTAATTATATTCCTGAAGATTCTTAAATTGCATGCAACCACACTAAAAATGGTGTAACTTAGTCTTGGAGGTCTTATGATGCTTTGGGTCATGTCATTGTCCCTGAGCCAGAAGCTCTGGGTTTGAGTCATACTTGGGGACTGGACAGTAGTGGAAGGCATATTCATAAAACAGCCAAACAGATTATCAACATGTAATTTCTTCCAATTAACCTATGGCAGTCAGTAAGAGTAAGACAGACTCCTGGCCAGTCATGTTTTATGTGGAGTGGCACCCCTTTTAACTCTGGTGACAGCACCGTTGAAGGAGAAACTAGCTGCGGAAAACAGACAGAACATGTGCCTCATGAGTCATTAGACACCAGGCAGCCTTTATGTCTGATATTATTTCAACAGTGGCTTAGATTTTAAAGGGAGTTTGAGATTTATTTTGATACATTCATGGTTTAAGATACTGGTTGCTTCAACCTGCCAAAATCCTGTGTACCTTGGCACATATATTTCCACGAAATGGAACCAATGATATGTTAGTCCTTTCCAATCAAGCAGTATTCAGAACATTAGTGAGGTTTTGATAGAATCACTGCATGAAGTTTTAATGAGGAAATTATAGTTATTTTAATCTGCTCAGACATATTTTGTCTCCCCTTGAGGGCAAATTGGACTGGAACCTAGTCATCCCAGCTCAAAGGTAGGGCCACTAGCACTGCACTATGGTAGTCCTTGAAGCTGCATTGTATATTTAATATATTTGCTTTGGATGATCAGTGACAGTGTGAAAATTATTTTGGACATGGAGCTTTTGGAACATCACTGGCATAACCCATTTTCCTGATCCTACCTAGTGTATACCATGTGGTCCTGGTAACAGAGGCCATTGCTTTGGAGCCAGTATCTGCTGTGGGGAGGGGTTTGGCTGCTACATTGGAACCTCCGAGACCCTGAGGTGTCAGAAGGAAGATTACCTGCTGTCTCCTTGTGAACCCAGTGGCAGGGCCTGTGGCAGCAATGGCGGGAAATGTGCCTCATTTGGAATCTGTTGTACACAGGGTGAGTAACTGGCTCGTCAGTTCACATTGTCTCAAAACAATGGCTACTATATCACAAAGAAAATGCAAAAGGGCACATTCAGGAATCAAAAAGGTTAATTTTCTGAACTTGTGTTGTGCTGTGAAACCCATTAGGAATGCAAAGGAGTTGTTTGGAGGAAATGAATCTGTGAATGATTAATCATCCAGGTGGAACATGTCATGTCCCCATCACAGCACCAGTTATAGGGTCATAGAGTCATATAGCACAGATACAGATCCTTTGGTCCACCTATTCAATGTTGACCATAATCCCAAACTAAATTAATCCCAACTGCCTGCTCTTGGCCTATATTCCTCCAAACGTTTCTTATTCATGTACATATCCAAATGTCTTTTAAACATAAATGTACCTGCATCCACTACTTTGTCTGTAAGTTCATTCCACACACAAACCACTCTCCGTGTAAATAAGTTTCCCCTCACGTCTTTTTTTAAATCTTTCGCCTCTCACCTTAAAACATGCCCTTTAGTCTTGAAATTTCACCATCCTAGGGAAAAGACACCTGCCACTCACCTTATCTATGCTCCTTATGATTATATAAACCTCTATAAGATCACCCCTCAACCTCCTACACTCCGGTGAAAAAAGTCCCAGCCTATCCAGCCTCTCCTTATAACTCAATCCCTCCATCCCCGGCAATATCCTGGTAAATGTTTTCTGAACTTTCTCCAGTTTGATAATATCCTTCATATATCAGGAAGACCAGAACTGGACATAGTGTTCCAGAAGAGGCCTCAATAATGTCCTGTACAACCTCAACATGATGTTTCAGACTATTCCATGGTTTATGGTACCAGTACACTGACTGGAACTTTACTCCACCTTATTTTGTATGTAACCTGACATTTGCTTTTCCCTGGTCTGAGTCTCTTGTGTTAAAAACAAAGTTTAGGTTTGAAGTATCACTCTGCATTAACTCCTGTTGTATTGTTTACTCTCATAAATAGCAGGCATGCCAAGAAAATAACCCCTTCCAACTCTTTCCATATAAGAATGTGATGGACTTTCTTAGCATGGAGTTATAAAGAGGAAAGTCAGGTTAGGCAGGGCAAGAATCTCCACCGTGTAGACCATCCCACCCAGATTAATGCGTCACTCCCAGACAACAAAGTTATCAATGAATCTATTCCTGTGCATGAATTTTGTAAAGATCATACAGATTAATTTCAACTCTCAGTGAAGGTGGGAAACAGGCAGTGGATACCCCATCTGAACTGTGCTGTTTTCTCCATTCCCTCTTCAGTGTCCTAATTTGATATTTTTAGTTTGAGGGAGTGGAAGACCCGGCAGAATGTGAAATAGGCAGCTGACCCACTGCTGCCTGATGTCTTCCTGTGCCAAAAGGTACAATTAGCCCCTTTTGTTTTTATTCATTCATTCATTGGATGTGGCTGTTGCTGGCTGGGTCAGCATTTATCCCGAGCTGCCCTTGAGAAGGTGGTAGTGAGTTGTCTTTCAGAACTGCAGCTTTAGGTAGATCCACAATGCCCTTCGGGAGGGAATTCCAAGATTTTGACCCAGCGACATTGAAGAAATGGTAATATGTTTCAAGTCAGGATGGTGAGTGGGGTGGAGGGGAACTTGGAGGTGGTGGTGTTCCCATATACCTGCTGCCCTTGTCCTTCTGGATGGAAATGGTTGTGGGTTTGGAAGGTGCTGTCTGAGGAGCCTTGATGAATTTCTGTAGTGCATCTTGTAGATAGTACACACTGCTCAAGGGAGTGAAAGTCTGTCAGTATAGTGCCAATCAAGTGGGCTACTTTGTCCTGAATCGTGTGAAGCTTCTTGACTGTGGTTGGAGTTGCTCCCATCCAGGCAAATGGAGACTGTTCCATCGTACTGTTGGCTTGTGCTTTGTAGATGGTGGCCAGGCTTTGGGGAGTTCTAAGATGAGTTACTTGCTGCAGGATTCCTAGCCTCTGACCTGTTCTTGTAGTCAACATGGCTAGTCTTCTAACAGTTTCTTGTTAATAGTAACCCCATGATAGTAAGGGATTCGGTGATGATAACACCATTGATATCAAAAAGCAATGGTTAGATTGTCTCTTTGTTGGAAATGGTCATTGCCTAACATTTGTATGACCCAAATATTACTTGCCACTTGTCAGCTCAAGCATGGGTATTGTCCAGATCTTGCTGCATTGGGACATGGATGGCTTCAGTATCAGAGGACCCACGGTGGTGTTGAACATTATGGAATTTTTGATAAACATTCCCCGTTTCTGACCTTATGATGGACGGAAAGCTCATTGATGAAACACCTGAAGATGGTTGAGTTTAGGAGATTACCCCGAGGAATTCCTGCAGAGATATTATGGGTTCAAATACTGAATCTACCAGGATACTGAGTTTCTGTTATAGACTACTTAATCAGAAACTATTTACATGGGATTCATGTTGTTCCTGAGGCATGGAACAGAGGAACTTAAGAAACAGGAGAAGTGGTGCGCAGTGGTGCACAGGAGATGCACCCTTTCCGCATCTACCCTGTCGAGTGCTCTAAGAATTGCATTAATTTCAATGAGACCATCTCTCGTTCTTCTGAACTCCGGAGAATAAAGGCCCAGTCTCCGCCATCTCTTAAATGAAAGTTAAATTCATGTCATTTTTACAGATTTTACTCTGGTTAGGCCCAGGAAATAAGGAGAAATATCTTTGTGAAGAATGGTCAGAGTATGGAACTTGCAACCACAGCATGAGGCTGGGTTGCATAACTTAGATGCTTTCAAAAGAAAATGATCAAGTGCTTACCAGAGTAGGAGAGGAAATATTCTGAGGTGGAGGGAAACCATGTGGAGTAAAAACACCAGAACAGGCCAGCTGGACTGAATGGCCTAATCCAATGCTATGTATTCTGCCTAATTCTATCTTGTATTCCCATTACAGAGAGCTGTGTCCTGGATCCTATTTGTGATGCCAGGAGTGTCTTCTCTTCAGATTAATCTGGACAATCCTGATCACTGATGCAAGATCTCAAGTCTTGAATTGTCACCTGAAGTTTGATATCTATAAATGTTGAATACAAACATCTTTTAATGCTAAATCGAAATGATGATGATTTTCAGACATGTACAGATGTTTTAAGCTTAATGTGAAATAATACCAAAAACCTGGAAGAATAGCTAACAATACATAAATAAAACACCACCCACTGTTTACTCCTTTTATCTGTGTATTTTCCATGTTCAACCAATGGCATATTGTTGATATCTCAAAGGTTGTAAATGGCATCAAAATTAGAAATAGATGGTACAGGAGGATAGCAACAGACATCACTAGACATAGCCAGTGAAGTAGGAACACATGGCAGATGAAACCTAATGCAGACATGTAAAATGATGCATTTTGGTTGGAAGAATGAAGAGAGGTGATATAAAATAAAGCATAGAATTTTAAAAGCGGCCTGGGTCTGACTGTACACGGATCATTGTACAGGGGAGGATGAGGTGAAAAGGCTGTTAAAAGAGCACACAGGATCATCGGTTTTATAAACAGGGGCGTAAAGTGGAAAAGGAGCAAAGTTAATGTTAATCTTTTGTAAATCACTGGTCAGGCTCCTGATGGCGAATGTTAGCCAATTCTGGGAACCACACACAGGGAGTGAAAGAAAATGCAGAAGACATTTGCTAGAATGGTAGCAGGAGTTTTAATAGATCAAGGAAAAATTATCTTATGGGCAAAGGCTAAACAGGTTGGGACTCTACTCACCGGAGTTTAAAGAATGAGAGGCTATCTCATTGAAACATATAGGGTTCTTATGAGTTTTGACAGCATAAATGGTGAGAAGATGTTTCCCCTCTTGGGAGAGTCTAGGACAAGAGGGCATAGTCGAAGAATAATTTAAGCCTGAGGTGAGGAGGAACTTCTTCTCTCAGAGGGTTATGAGTCTTTGGAACTCATAGCCACAGAGAGCAGTGGAGGCATCATTGATTGTAATAAAGGCTGAGATAGATAGATTCTTAGTCAATGGGGGAATCAAGAATTATGGGGAAATGGACAGGAAAGTGGAACATTGGATCAGCCATGATCCGATTGAATGGTGGAGCAGGCTTGAGGGGCCGAATGGATCACTCCAGTTCTTATTTCTTATGGCCTTAAATCATGGTGTGAGGACCAGTAACAGGGACCAGAGTTACAATAATTGCCAGAGGGAGAAAGGGGATCTGAAGGGGATATACTACACAGTGAGTTTAGCATCTGAAATGAGGTGCCTGAACAGGTGGTTGAAATGGAATCAATATTGCTATGGCTTCTAGCTCTCAGCAGTTTGAAGTAATCCCACTTTTAGGCTCAGACACTTAATTGAATGTATTTCCAGTTGTTCTCCTGAGTCACACACACTCTCTCTCACACACACATTTTGGGTAAGTATATGAATAGAAAAGGTATGGAGGGATATGGACCAGGAGCAGGCAGGTGGGACTAGTTTAGTCTGAGATTATGTTTGGCATGGACTGGTTGGTTTGAAGGGTCTGTTTCCATGTTGTATAACTGTATGACTCTATGACTGTGTGGCATTTTCTCACACAAACACATACAAGCATGCTCCTACATAGACTCTCTCTCTCACACGCACACATACACACGCACACACTCTCACACAGACACTCCCTCACACACACTCTCTCACATACACCTCTCTCTGTCATACACACAGACACACTCTCTCTCACACACACACATGCATACTCTCACCCACACAGAAACTCTCTGTCTCTCTCTCTCTCTCACACACACACATTTTGATACTTTGAAACATTTCTTCAGAATTTGACATTTATTAACAAGTTGTGCAGTTCCAAAGTGTTCATGCACTTTTCAGTTTCTCCACATTGAACAGTCCCCAGTGGTACCTGACCCTCCCCACCCCAACCCTGGATGGTCACCTGATCCTTGTAAAGGATCCCTGTTCCCAGCTCCAAGGGGTCCAGCTCTCCAAAACAGTGCCCTTACTGTTCAAATTACATTAATTAAACCATAAAACCATCAGATATATGAACAGAATTAGGCCATTCAGCCCATCAGGTCTGCCCCACCTTTCGATCATGACTGATATGTCTCTCAATATCATGCTCCTGCCTTTTCCCTTTAACCCTTGATCCCCGTACTCATCAAGAACCTATCTATCTCTGCCTTAAATACACTCAATGACTTGGACTTCATAGCCCTCTGCAACAAAGAGTTCCACAGATCAATCATCTTCTGGCTGAAGTAATGCTCCTCATCTCAGTTCTAAACATTTATCCCTTCACTCTGAGGCTGTGCCCTCAGGTCTTGGTCTCTCACACTAGTGGAAACATCTTCTCCATGTCCACTCTATCCGGGCCTCTCAGTATTCTGTAAGTTTCAATCACAAACCCCGCATCCTTCTAAAGTCCATTGAGTAAGGACACAGGGTCCTCAACTGCTCGCCCTAGGACAAGCCCTTCATTTTTAGGAGCATTCTTTTAAACCTGCTGTGGACCCCCTCCAAGGCCAGCAAGTCATTCCTTAGATACGGGGCCCAAAACTGCTCATAATATTCCAAATGTGGTCTGACCAGAGTCTCATATGCCTTCAGCAGTACATCTCTGCTCTTGTAGTCCAGCCCTCTTGAAATGAATGCTAACAATGCATTTGCCTTTTTAACTGCTAAATGAGCCCAAATATTAACCTTAAGAGAATCTTGAACTAGAATTCCCAAGTCCCTTTGTGCTTCAGATTTCTGAAGCCTTTGTCCATTTAGAAAATAGTCTATACCTCTATTCTTCCTATCAAAGTGCATAACCTCATACTTTCCCACTTTGTATTCCATCTGTCACCTCTCTGTCGACTCTCATGGACTGTCCAAAACCTTCTGAAGCCTTCTGTTTCCTCAACAATATCTGTCCCTCCATCTATCTTTGTATCATCTGCAATCATAGCAATGATGCCCTCATTTCATTTGTCCAGATTGTTAATATAAAATGTGAATAGTTGTGGTCCCAGCACTGACCTCTGTGGAGCTCTACTCATTACCAGCTGCCATCCTAAATAAGACCCTTTTATCTCCACTATCTACCTTTTGCCAGTCAGCCAATCCTCTATCTATGCCAGTACCTTGTCCCTAACATATTGGGTTCTTATCTTATTTAGCAGCCTCCTGTGGAGCACCTTGTCAAAGGCCTTCTGTAAATCTAAATAGATCATGTCCACTAGCTCTCCTTTGTCAAACTTACTTGTTACCTCCTCAAAGAATTCTAACAGATTTGTCAGAAATGACCTCCCGCCCCTACCCCTGATGAAGCTGCGCTGACTCATCCCCTATTTTACTTCTAAGTGCTCATCCTTAATAATAAACTCTAAAATCTTACAAATGCCTTAGGTCAGGCTATCTGGCCTAGAGTTTCCTGTCTTCTTCCTCTCTCCCAATTAGCCACTTAAGGGCTCCAGTCGGTGGCTGGATGGGAGGGTTGACCATTGGGTTTCCCCTCCAGAATGTTACTGTGGAGGACGTGGGAAGGTAGAGAGGTTTAGAAAGACCACAATTCCGTTAAATGCCCTTAATGCCTTCAAGTTCCCCATCAGCATGAACAGAAAAGATTCTACCCAAAGTTAGCATTCCAAGAGTCCACACAGAAAGGCACAATTTCCATCAAATGTGCAATGAGGGAAAATCCTTGAATTAGATTTTTATTTACTAGATTTATTATCCTTATGCAGTCACTGCTATATGAACAGAAAGACTAGTTCTGATCAAAGAAGAGCCATTAGGTTGACATGGAATCAGTAAATAAAGATTCTCAAGTTTTGTTATTGATCCCAAAATGCCAATCATTGATCCCTGTCCTCAAATTCTATTCCAATTCAATACTTCTTAGGCAAAGGAGATCTTTCAGACAACACAGGTTTCTGAAATTTCCATTTCATGAGGACTGTGCTGTATGTCTGCACAGTAATAACATCATCAAAAGATGAACAGAGCAGAATTCGTAAACTATCCAGGGCCACAGCTGGGTTTGTGAATGATCTGACTTAGCTGCAATCCTTCCTTGATAAATCATCTTAAGCCATAATGAACAGATTGCAGAGTATTCTGAGGGAGGTTGGGGGCGGGGGTTCACAAAATCCATAATGGCACCTGTGAGCACCAGCAGGCAGATGTTAAGGAGCTCAGAAAGAGATTATTAAGTAGACCTCAAATGGTGATAGTTACAGGATTGCTCTAAGTGCCAATTGTTCCTGGCTGCAGAAGTACAGGAGAGAGAGAGAGAGAGAGAGATAGCAGAGGGGTACCTGGGTGATGCTGCAGAAGTACAGGAGAGAAAGAGAGAGAGATAGCAGAGGGGTACCTGGGTGATGCTGCAGAAGTACAGGAGAGAGAGAGAGAGATAGCAGAGGGGTACCTGGGTGATGCTGCAGTTGGTTCCTGAGACATTGGAAAGAGTTCTGAGAAAGATGGAGTGTCACTGGCTGTACATGTTGCCCCTCATCAGAGCTGAGAGCAAGGTTTCACCGGGCATGCTGCCCATGTTACTGCTGAAGGTTCAAAATGATCGTGAGCTCAAAAGTGAAAACTATCATCTTACAAGACAAACGGATTGAGGGCTCTTGTGGCACAGTGGTAGTGCCATTACCTCTGAGCTGGTGTTCAAGACTCACCTGCTACAGAGATGTGTCATGAAGTAAGTAGCTTGATTAAAAACGGATGGAAGGTGGAGGTCTGCCACAAATTAATGCAGCAGGTGGACGGAAACAGGGACATAGCATTATCCAAGGAGTGCTTAACACAGAGAGAGGCCATTCAGTTGTTTCAGCGGCGGGAGTCCGGGAGGAAGCGCGAGGGCAGCCTGGGAAGGTGACCTTTTCGGTTATTAAAGTCTTACCTCGCGTGACTCCATTTTTGGAGTAAGTGAGGTAATATATTTGGGCGGTTGCTTTACCCGAAACACTACCTAGGTAGTGTCTCCCACCCATCCTCCTC